GACATGATGGAGAAGACAAATAGAGTATAGGTGGCATCAGGTACCAAGCAAACAGGGCTCTACTAAGCATGGTGACTCCGCTGCAGAGATTGAGCATGGCTGGAGCGTAAGGGGCTTGGGAGAGAGCTGTAGATAGTCTCATGCTACCAAGGTGTCTAGGTGGAGGTGGAGCAGCGATAGTTGCAATGATTGATGCACATGACATATTGTGTACGTTGAAATATGCAATGTTTGTACAGGTAATAGAAGTTCACACTGCTTCTAAACGGTGCATGATGACTAAGACTTGCCAACCCAAAGAGGTACTATGGCAGAGCTGATTTTTTGGTAGCTGTATATGCTGTGCCTGTGAACTGCTTGGAGCTCGGAATGATGGGGCATGGCATGTGCCCACAGTCATGCAAGCACACACCGAGAGACCAACACAGCAACACACACACACAAACGAACACACACCAACCCACACACACCAACGCACACACACACCGACGCACACACACCAACACACACACACACCAACGTACACACACTAACACACGCACACCAACACACCCACACCAATACACACACACAATGCACACACACCAACGCACACACACACCAACGCACGCACACACACCAATGCTCACACACCAACTCACACACAACAACGCACACACACCAACACACCATACAGCATGCTGCAGCATCTCGTGCGGCTTCCCCTGGAACTCAGGGTGACAAACACACCGAGAGACCAACACACCAACACACACACACCAAGACTTGCCGAGGTACTCTAGCGGAGCTGATTTCTGAGTAGCTGTGTATGCTGTGCCTGTGAAATGCGTGCGGGGGCTTGTCATTGAAAATGGGTGTGCAGGCTTGTCTCTGAATATGCATGTGCAGCCCTGTCTCCGAAAATGCGTATATCTAGTGCATATGCACCAGAAGTGAGCCTTCAGGGAAGTGCAACAAGTGTGGTGATAGTCATAACATACGGGCAACAGCACATATGCACCACAAGAAGTAATTGCACTGCAAACAAGCACGACAAGGAAAATAAGGAGCCACACCCATCCAATACATGCAGCAGACTAGCTACACATATCCCACTGAATATCACAGGCCACCTACGTGCATCTACCACATGCCAAAGACAAGCTAGACCCATCTGCCACATGCCAAAGACCAGCTAGGTCCATCTGCCACATGCCAAAGACCAGCTACACCCATCTGCCACATACCAAAGACCAGCTAGACCCTCAATGTGATCCAGAGACTAACTGCACCCATCCACTGCCTGCCAAAGACCAGCTATACCAGTAAGTGAAAGAGAACAGCGCCCCCTAATTCCCTATCACAACCAATAAATGGGCACGGCACAACACTCTCAATGAATTTGGCATCTAGCCAGATGGTGCTTCGGGAGTGGCTGCTCGTGCAGCGGCTATTAGTCCAACCCTATGGCTTGCACTCGGCTTGTCGTCCTTGTTCGCGTGTGTGCATGCATGGCATGGAATGACTTGTGAGTCTATGTCATTGCTATCTAGTGCTTGTGTGTGTGTTTGAATGGTGTATCACAATATGATTTGTGTCGGTCAATACATTAGCGAGTTTTCACAACTCGCATGTCAAGTCGTCGTTTGCGTGTCGCATGCGTTTTTCTATTTTGTCGAGTGTAAAGTGTCCACCGCGTCACAGGTGTGTGCAGCAAGCCCCCATCAACTCAAGAAGAATTTATCTTGCAGAATCAAGACCAAGAGCTCAAGATATCAAGCCCAAGGGAAGTGGATAAATATTAAATAGTGAAACTAGTAATGCTACTTCATGTAGTGTTACATTTCACTTGGTCCAGCCCCTTGTTGAGTTTTTTTGGAGTCCCTTTGTGGTTGCGGACTCTGTGGTGGTGTACCACCAACCTGGACCTCGGCTCTTGGGGCTTGTAGAGGCTGAGAACTATCTCAACCTCGATTCTTCTTGCTAAGTTTGTAATTCTAAGACTGTAGTGGCTGCTATACCTCCTGCCAGTCAAACCGTCATAGCATCATCAAATCTTCATGGAATTTCATGATTAAACTTGCTGCTGATAGGCGACAGCACTGCGCTCCAGATCCAACCTAGAGATCACCGTTTAAGTCAGCGATCAGATTGTTATCAATATTTGAAGCCGTCTGATGGAAATCCAACCATGCCCTCTGTTAGTATTAAGGACGGAGTCTAGGTGAACTTAGGAGCTAGAATTACTCTAAATATAAATCCGAATTCTGGACAGAAAAGTCGTCTTCACAAGAAACGACATCAACAAAAAAAAAGCTGTTGGAACGTCGCGAAAATCGGAAATGATGTAGCTTGTAATTGTAGCTACCGTTCTCAATTTGAATCACGTTGATTGATGGAGTATTCGCGACGCTATGTCCTTTGACGCATTTAGGGGTAAGCTGTAGGAGGAGAACTTAACTCAATCTCAAAAGTTCAATCAAAGTTCAAGAATCTCATAAGGAGCTAGAGAAGCAAGAGA